CATCATCAGCTTTACCACCACCAGAATCACCACCCTCTTGAAAGTCCGTGATCAGCTTTCCAATGGAAACGAGCTGATCAAACTCATGGTTTTCAATATGGTTCAGCAACTTCTCGATCTCCATCTTTTTCTCAGGGTTTCTAAATGTATCGTTCTTGAGAACAGCCAAAATCTCATCCGCTGCACCACTAACAATACTCAGAGGTTGCCCACCCAACTGCTGCTGAATTAGACTAAGCATGGCTTCATAAGCAGCCCTAGTCTCTTTAGTCTTCGGCTGATAAACCGCATCGTCGGTATCAGTCAGCACACTCTCTTCCCTTAGACGACGCCTCTTACTCTGCCTAACATTAGCAGTATCATCAACAACATCACGTTCCTTCTTCTTAGACTTTTTAAGCTTATCCTCCAACTCCTGAGGCCTTCCCTTAGCAACACGGTCACCAAAAGACCTCGGATCAATTTTCCCCCACAGAGTTTCCGGTTCTCCTGTAGGCTCATGAGTATCGCGAGGACGATTATCAGTAGTTAACACCAGACTAGAATTGGCTCTGTACTCATACTGCTTGAACCTGGCATGTGCTTCCGCACCGCCTCCCAAGTTCGCCATCACCAAATCCGAAAACCTAAAAACTAAATCAAACAGAAACAAACAAAAAAACACAATGTTAACCTCGAATCGAAGAAACGAAACCAAAAGAAAACCAAATATGAAACGAAGAAGAAGCTCCCAAAGAACGCAGATGATAAACCCTAATAAAACCACCCAAAACAGCTACGAAACACTTACCGAAACAGCTACGAAACGAAATCTCTTCTTAGCTTCACTCTCGGTAACGAATCAATCTACTAGAAGAAACCCTAATGGGAGATTCAGATTTCTTCTCCCTTCTCACGTCCTCTATCTCCTAAAAATCGACCTAAATGACTAAAGGAGACACTCCTTCGTTATTCGACTGCGAATTCTTTCTATAAGCTAGAAACCGCCTTAAGGTGACAAACCTTAACGACGCCGTTTCGACACTATGGATCCAATAACGAAACCGACCCTTTACATGGCTTTATTATTGGGCTGGGCCTGTAAATACTTTATAAGCCCAACATAATTAGACAATGGTCTCATTCTTTCTTTTGGCTTTGTTAATCTGAGAATGAATGCAATTGTCAAAATATGAATTCCTCACATTAATAATCGCTGACAAAAATAATGTGTGTGTAATAATGAAAAAGGAATGGGGAAAAACTTTAAATGGTGACAGTGACATGGAGGCTGATTACTTTGAATGCAATCTTAGATTAGTAAAAGAAGGCACATGCATATGAGACGAAGGTTCATGTGTTATCATGTGAAAACTGGGCAGTCGATAAAATATCCAAAAAACAATTATATATTTCTTTACTTATTTTTGTCAAAACTCTAAAGAGATCTATTGACCTTAGTGATAATATAGTTTTCAAACATGCAATACGTATAATTTATAGTTTTGTATTACAAAAAGTTCTCATGTTATGTGATATATCGATGGAACAACCGAACAAGAATCAATTACCATAACAACAACGACAACAACAAAAGTTCAAGAAAAACTCACTCCATCATTAATTAAAACTCTTGTTTGAAAAAAAAAACTCAATCGGTGACTAAATTTTTACTTTCTTTCTCTTTTAAGGAAATACGGAGAATGGTGACAAACAAACAAAAGAGTAATTTAATACAGAAATTGACTAATCACGTAGCACATGTGTAGGCGTGTGAAATACTGAGACGTGGAAAATCAAAATGTCCCAAAAAGGCCATGTGTAGAAATCCACGTAACAAGAGCATCAAATTCAACTATGAATATTCTAGAATGCACTACAAATCTGTTCTTAAGAGTTTACCAAAGTTTTAAATCTAAAACTATGCTAAACCACTATCAAGTTTTTAGCAGTGTTAGTTTTGTTACTGCATATATAACAAAACAAATTGTATATATATAAAAATAAGTTAGAAACTCTTGTCCACCTAAATTCCGTTTAGACATCCATGTACATAGGGTAACCACCTATTGCGGATTAGAGCATTGATCGATCATGTGACATAGTGTGGCTCCATTATCTTTAAAGTTTTGCCGGAGATATTTATGACAAAATTGGTGTACTTTTATTCCAAGATTTAATAATATTATTTATTCTTTCTTTGTTTTGTTTTACATAATAATACTTTTTATTCAAAAATAAACATAAAGTAACAATGCCTATGTTGTTTTTTCCTATCAAATATTTAACTGGTGAAATTTTATTAGTAGCTATTACCGATGATCTCTTCGGTCGTTAATGACAATTATTTTACAAGTAACAATTGATGTGAAAAAGTGAAAAAGGTCATTGTTAATTAGCTATTACAACACTCAGAAAATCATCGCTAGTCTGCCACAAAATTCAAATGTGTTACAATATATCATATATAGTTAACTATAAAATCCTTTTGTTAGATCAATAATGGCTGACCACTATAAATGCCTTAAATGGTTAAGATATCTTGTTTTTATATATTTTGGAGGCTAATTAATATATTTTGGTCTGAATATATCTATTATTAAAATTTCGAATAATATTGTGTCAATATTCCTTCCATGCCATGAATAAACTGTTACATATTTTAACAACCCCTAGAAAGTCCAAAATACGTTTTTGGTGAAACATACGAAGTAGATATATATATATATATATATATATAATATTGACAAAGTGACAAAATGTAACAGTTTTCGTGTCATATGTACGTGAATTTCCATGTTAGGAACCGCTAATAGAATTGATAAGGTCAAAAGATGAATCTCATCGTGACATTCCACCAACCTAAAGTAGTTTCACTCACCGCTTCACGCATGACCTAAATATATACGGAGTACAAAACTAGAAGGAAAAAAACACTAAACCAACGTGTAGTGCTAGGCAATAAAATTGAGTTCATATACCTTTTTTTTTTTTTTTTTTTTTTTTGGGCAAATTGTTCATATACCTATAAATTTGAAAAGCTTGGTAAAAAGGAATATGTATACTAGACGGATATATATAGCTCGTGTTGAGGCATATATTGTCAGTTAGTTTACGCCTATTGATTGATTTATTTGTGTAGCTGTCTCTTTGACGAATTAAACTCAAGTTGGTAAATTGTTTAATTAGTTTTACCAGCTACTCACTTTATTGTCGATCTAGTGCTACCAAACTATTGGCGACTACAAATTAAAGTCGTCTCCGTATATTAACGTGTTTTTCAATTTTATTTACGTGTATAATTTCTTTTCGTCAACTATTATGGAGTAGATCTAAATAAACAAACAGCGGAAAATCAAATAAATGTCATAATATGTAGGCAAAAAAAAAAACCTCATAAGATATTGTGTCTTGTATATATATATTGAATCTTACCACCGAAACCGACATATCATTAGAGTTTTAGTAAGCACGTCATTTTCAAAAAAAAAAAGCACGTCATTTTCAGTTAGTAGGTTGAAAAAGAAAAATTCTCATCTTCAATATGAAAATATAGGATGGGCATCTTTTTATGAACCTTAATCTCTTAGGATCTTTACGTTATTTAAAAGTAAATTTGACAAATGTAAAAGATAATTAAAATAATTTAGGCAGTTAAATTATGTTCCTTACAATATGAAATTCATATATATGATTACAAAGAAATTGTAGGGAAAATATATTTCGATTATAGATGTAACTATTCGTGTTTTCTAGTCAAGATTAAGCAAGACACAAACTTAAGCTTAATTTATTTAGAAACACAAATGAATCCAGATATACCCTATTTTCTTTTAGTTATTCTACTAAATTCATTGTATCACCCATCAAAGACTTAATTGAATAATAATAAAAAAGAAAAGAGGTTAGATATTACATAATCATCGTTATGGGAAATATCAGGAATCAAAATAATTCATGAGCGAGAGAGAGAGTTCCTAAGAATGAGAACGTCGTTTTCCGTGTCGAACAAAAAGCGCATATCCGTTTTCGTAATAGCGGGACCCATCTCTCCTCACGCGTTACTTTATCCGACCCGATCCAACCTGACCCGGATATAACAGATTATGGTAAATCTTCGAATTAGTGTTAATTAATATTGTTGGCTAAAATCTAACTAAAAATACTTGTTATGGTGATGCCAAAAACTGTATTTCATCCTATTAAAGGATGCCACGTGTATCTACCTCAATGATAATCATATAACAAAAATGTGATGTTTTACCCATAATCACGGATACATTCATACAACTGTGCAATAATTAAATTTTATATTAATATATGATCTTAAACAGATTTAAATAAAATCTCTAATATCCCTTTTTTACGTTCCTAGTTAAATTATCCCTTTTCACTTTAAAAAGTACAAATTCATGCAAAATAAGATAATTTCTGAAACTTTTTTTTTTTTGGTAAACATGTGAAGATAATTTCTGAAGCTTATAGATAATTCTTTTGTCATTTCAACAAAAGTTCTTTTAATCATCCTTTCATTAATATTTAAAAGTTGAAATCCTTTTTTTAATGGATAATGTATTTGGATAAACTACATAATCAACTAAATTATTATTTAATGACGTCATTAAATAGTAATTACCAATAATGAATAATGATGACAATCATAAACAGATCTTGAAGTTAACAATTTTAACACTGATAAAAAATATTTGGATAACTCTGTATCAAAGATTTACGCGTTTCTACCATATACAAAATATTATATCATACTACTAATTAAACTGATTTAATGCTTAATCTAACTCTAATTCAAATATGAAAAACACATTTGTTAATCGATAAATACAAAAAGATAAATAAAAAATCTGATTAAGGAAGCCCTCTGTTCAACAAAGAGGCTTCTCGATCTCGTCCTTAATTCCTCCTTCTCTAAGCCAGCTGTTTTCTTCTTCTTCTTCTTCATCTCTCTCTCTCCCTCGTCTCCTACTCTCTTTCTTTGCTCGCACCAAAATTCCCTCAAATTCCTCCTCCGTTAATCGCCGGCATTGTCTTTCTTACCGATCCGACTATCTCAGCATTCGAAATCTCCGGCGATAAAGCCTGATCTCAAGGTTTGTTGAAATCGATTTTTTATTTTCCCGGGAATTTCTCTGATCTCCGTCTATGTCGGTTTTGTTTTTTTGGTCTTGAATTTTCATTAGATCTGGCTGCAATTTCGTTTGATCTGACTTATTCTTACGCGTTTGATTAGCTTTTCGTTCGTGATTCCGTCGGTGGAAGCTGTGAAAATGCCGGTGGAGGTGGAGAGAGATCAAGGAGAGGTGTCGGTGAAGGTTGATTTTGAGAATGCGACTGAGATTAAACCGGAGGTAGTAATTCCGGCTACCAAAGAGGACGTGGTGAATGGGATCAGCCATGGCGGTAATAATGGTAACGGAAACGACACCGATGGTTCTTACGTTTTCATTACGGAGAATGATACCGTAGGAGATGATTCTGTAGAGTCTGATTTTGTTAAGCCTGTTGATGATGCCAATGTGGAGAAAGATCTTAAGGAAGGAGAGAATGTGAATTCTGAGAAAGTGAAGGTAGAAGCTACAAGTATCGCCGATGATGATATTTTGGGAGTTTCTCAAGATAGTCAAACCCTGGAAAAGTCTGAGCGAGGACCAGAGGAGGTCGTTGGGATCCCAAAGTCAGAAATTGAGGATTCTCTTGAAAAAAGTGTCGACCAGCAGCATCCTGGTAATGGGCATCTAGAAAGTGGGCTTGAGGGTAAAGTGGAATCTAAAGAGGAAGTGGAGCAACTTCAAGATTCTGAAGTTGGATCCAGGGATGTGACCAAGATTAACGCAGAGGAAAAGTCTGAAGGTAAAATTGAACCTGACAGTAAAACAGATGTGGAGGGACATCAAGGGGACAGGATTGAAGCCCAAGAAAAATCTGATCTGGATGTGGATGTTTCTGAAGCAGAAAAGCACCCAGTTGACTCAGATGAAGTAAAGGAGTCTGAGTTGGTGAGCGCTAAGGTTTCTCCAACGGACCCTAGTGATGGAGGCATGGATTTGGGACAACCTACGGTAACAGATCCAGCTGAAACCATCAATGGATCTGAATCTGTGAATGATCGCATTGGATCAGAATCTGTAGCAGTTTTGGAATCTGTTTCTGTTGAAAACGGTCACCCTCCAATAGAATCAGAGTTGGAGAGAACTAGTGATGTTCCATTCACTTCAGAGGCGGAAAAAGTCAATGCTTCCGATGGTGAAGTGTTGGCAGACTCTGGGACCGTGGATGTTGCTGTATCAGAGGTAAGTAGTGATGTCCCGGCTGAGACTCAAGCTCTTACTGCCATCAGCTTGGATTCCCAGCCTTCTGGCAAAGATAGTGTTGTTGAAAATGGTAATAGCAAATCGGAATCTGGAGACAGCAAGATGCAATCGGAAATTGGAGCTGTGGATGATGTCTCTGTGTCTGATGGGAGTATAAAAACTCATCCAGAATCTCAAGATGCCAGCGATCCTACTTGTGATCAAGATGGAAAACAACACATAGCATCTGAAGTTAAGGAAGTTCTTGATGCCCCTGCTTCAGAAGAAAGAAGTGATGCTGTTATTGTTGCCAAAGAGAATGTTTCAGAAGCTGCTATTTCTGATGGCTTATCTTGTACCAACCAGCAGGGATCAGAAAATGATGAGATATCTGGGCTTGTTGAAAAACTCCCATCCCATACGCTACCTGAGGTTGCGCCTTCTGTGGATGACACGAGTGTAATTGTAAGCGATGACACCAAAAGTCAAGGTTTATCAGAGGATCATGGAGTTGACACTAACCAGAAGATTCAAGATGATTGTAGTGCTGAGTTGGAAGAAGTTACCGATGTGAATGTAAAACATGCTCCAAATGAGAAAGTTCAAGGGGACAACAGCGAGGGGAACTTAAATGTTGGTAGTGATGTTTGTCTAAATTCTGCTGAAGAAGCGAAAGAGTCACCTACAGGGGATCTTTCTGGGAATGCATCACATGAGAGTGCTGAGACTCTCTCTACAAACATCAACGAACCATTGAGCTTGTTGGATACCAAAACTGCTGTCTCTGACTTGGCAGAAAGCTCAGCAGGAGTAGCTGGTGAAACAGACACTGTTGCCACGGAATCTGAAGCTGCTCAATCAACTAAAGAATGTGCTGAACCACATGTATCTCCATCCACTATTGAAGATGCTGAAATAAACAGAGAAGTCAATTGTGGTTCCGAAGTACACGTGACGAAGACCACTCCTGTTGATGTGTGTGAGGATATACCACCTAAAGAAGTTTCTGAGATGGGAGAATCGGACATCAAAGAAAGATCTTCGATAAATACAGATGAAGAAGTCGCTACTGCCTCAGTTGCATCCTTTGAAATCAAGACCTGTGCGCAGGATCTTGAATCGAAAGTGGTTACATCTACTGATACCATACATACAGGAGCTATAGACTGTGTGGACAGCCAACCTGCTGAAAACAAAGAAGGTAATAAGTTAATTGAAAATGAAATTAGGCTATGTACTTCTCTTGTTGAGAATGAGAAGGCTGGAGTTGACAGTATATCTAAATTGTTGTGTTCAGGAAATGCTGTTGATAGAACAGATGATAAAGTAGCCTCAACCGGTGAAGTTTCTGTGCCTGATGCTTCTGAAGTGCTCACTGTAGCGGCAGAGATAGAGAAAAAACCATTTTACTTTCTGCCTAGAGTTCCAAGATATGATGACGAAAAGTTAGCCGAGCAACTCAAGCATGCTGAAGAGCAGGTTGATCAGAAAACACAGAGTCGGGATGCTCTTAGAGCGGATATCCAGAAGATACGCGTAAGAAATACTTTTGAGATTTTCATAAGGTGAAGCATCTTGTTCTAAATTTGGCTCTGACATTTTTTGAAATGGTTATTTCTAGGCAATATGTAAGGAGTATGATATCAGTTGCAAGGCGGCCATGACAGAAGAGAGATCTGCAAGAAAAGCAATGCATTCAAAACGGCAGGAAATTGAGGCCCTTCAGTCTATGATTAGCCGGGTTAAGAGTGCTGCATCTGTTGATGATATTGATTCAAGGGTGAGATTCCCAATGATTACATTTCCAGCTAAGTCTTGTTCAAATTTTTAGCTTCTCAAACTTGATTAAGCTAATCTATCTTATTTCTCTGCCTCCAATCAGGTGCATAATATGGAACATATGATGCAACACACAACTTTATCTCTGAATGAAGAAAAAGGATTCATGCGTGAAATAAAGCAGTTGAAGCAACTTCGCGAGCAGATATCTTCGAGTATGGGTACCAAGGATGAAGTTAAGCAAGCATTGGATGAGAAAGAGAAAACAGAAGAACGTTTGAAGGTACACTACAGTCTACACGTCCTATCAGTCATCTCTTATGTCCTATCTGCATTTAGTTGCTACCCGTTCTCTCTCTACATTGATTTAACCTATTTGTCGGTTCAAGTGCATTTATTTCCTCTATTTGCATAACGTCCATGCGGGTGATTTAGTCATCTCATCCTTTCTTTGTGGATATCATTTACACAGGTCAAATCTGACATTTCTGGTGATAACAGGTATTGAGGAAGGAACTAGATGCGCTAAGAAACGATCTCTCAAAAGCCGAAGCAATCACAAAAGCTGCTAAAAAAAAGTGTGATGAGGAATGGGAAGCACAGAGTAAACTGCAAGAACAGTTCAGAGCTGCTGATGCTGTTCGCCAGGAAGCATTTGTGCACTTACAGGATTTGAAGAAACAACAACGAGAAAAGGTACCCAAAGAGCATCTGAAAGCAGACATAAACTTACAAATGCTTGCATCTGTGTTTTTTGATTAAGCCTTCACTTTTATTTTTTCGTATTGCAGAACAAATATTTCTTCAAGTACAGAGATAATTCAAGGGCAGCAAGTGAAATGGTTTTGAAGAAAGACAGAGCAGCCCTGCAAAGCCTTTGTTCTGACCAGGTATAAGCAGAAGCCAAATTTCTACAACGTTTTCAATCCCTTTATGTCGGCTTTGTACTCATTTCAGTCTTTACGCAGGTGGAGAATTTCATGAATATGTGGAACAATGACGAGGAGTTCCGTAAATACTATGTAAAAAGCAACACAAGGAGTACCTTTAGAAGACTAGGAACCCTAGATGGACGATCTCTTGGCCCTGATGAGGAGCCACCTCGGATCACTTATGCTCCAAGAATGGACAAACTTAAAACTTCTAGTGACAGAGCAGAGAAACATGAGGCAGTTCCACCGGTTCCAGCTCAACAAGAGAGAGTCGTTAAATTTGAAGGTTCAAAAGTTGAAAACAATGGTAAGGCTGTTGCTAAACCCACCGAGCAGAAGAGTCAGACCACTAAATCTAAAAAGGCCGTCAAGCCAGACCAGCCTCCACCAAATGTCACAGAATTGGCTTCTGGAAAAGAGGAGATAGAGAAGTCAGCAACACCTGAAGAAGAAGAGCCACCTAAGTTAACAAAAGAGGAAGAGGAGTTAATTAAGAAAGAAGAGGAGAAGAGAAAACAAAAGGAGGCTGCGAAGATGAAGGAGCAGCATCGGTTGGAGGAAATAGCAAAAGCGAAAGAGGCAATGGAGAGGAAGAAGAAGAGAGAAGAGAAGGCAAAAGCAAGAGCTGTTCTCAAGGCTCAGAAGGAAGCAGAAGAAAGGGAGAAGGTAAAAGCATTCTCATTCTGTTACCCAAATTTGATAATGATCAGAGTCTCTAGCCAGTATGTTTATGTTGTGACAAAAATGATTTAAATACTATGCCATGGATCTGATGAACAACCGTCTATTGTGTAGGAACGAGAAAAGAAGCTAAGGAAGAAGGAGAGAAGAAAGGGGATTTTTACATCAGAAGAGACAGCAACTGAAAACCCAATTCCGACATCAGAAACTGAAGTCGAAACCCCAAGGGAGATCGAAATTCCAAAGAAACAAACCGTAGAGGAGAGTCAGCAAATCAAGAAATCCCACAAACTTTCATCACAGTTTCTCAAACAAAACAAGTCAAAATCGGTTCCTTTGCCTTTAAGGAACCGAGGAAGCAAGAGAAAACTACGGCAATGGATGTGGATTGGACTCATAGTTGTGATCATCCTCGCATTGTTCCTTCTCGGTAATGCCAATCTCTCCTCTCCTGCAAATCTTTGGTTTACATAAGAACAAAAAAAAGAAGAAGTGCACACTCTCACACACACTTTGCCTTGTGGTTTTTATAGTTATTTTTTTTTTGGCTCATCTAAATTAGTTTGGATTGTGTTTGGTGCTTTTATTCTTTTTCTTTTAAGTGGGGAAGCTTTGATTCATTGATTTCACACGAACGACAGACATAGATTGGTTTTGCTTGTTCTGGGTATATGTTTAAGAAACACGGTTCCAGTTTTTTATTTTTTAATATACCATAATATATTATTAAAGCAATAACGTCTTCTCATCTTTTATTGATCTATAAATTACGAATAAATTTATAAGATAGGAAGATGTAGTATGGAGAAAGCGATGATATCTCTTGTTGTGCTGAAACTGGTGGAACAGTCTCACATGTTTCTCTGCACTTTTACATGAAGTTCTATGACTTGTTGGTTTTTGTCACATAAGTGACCGGGGTGGTTCCTCCTCAGTGCCCAGAGATCGTCCATCTACGGTTCCTAGTTTTCTAAAGGACACAGAGCAGAGAAACATGAGACTCACCCAGTTTCAACAGTGGATTCAATGTTATATTTTCCCCTCTTCACTCTTAATCAAATTTGAAACAGTCTATAAGGCGCACTGCGAACTGCTAGTCGCAGTAGCGCTACATTTTGACAAAACTCTCTAAGCTGGTTGTTTCTTCCCGATGTTAACGCGCAAACTTTTGTCAGGACAACCGCATTAGTTTCCCTAAAACGCCATAACCAATTGATAAGATCGAATGCTAGCATCTTAGCTTAAAGATGACACATGAATGGGCAAATGGGGACTTAACAATGATCCGAATGTTGTTGACTCAACAACTAAATTTAGTCCCTTCTCATGACCTACAAAGGCACAAACTATTTGCTAAGGATAAAATAGTTAGTTGAATATAGTTAGTTTTGTAATATGAAAAACTTAAGATTAGAAAAATAGTTGCGTTCAAACTCAGCCGAATCTTTTTACATTCACAAGACACGTGACAAATAGCTGCCGCATAACTTTTTTTTTTTCAGTTTTGATGTCCTTCTCATTGACATGAAACAAAAAATGTCAACTAAAAATAACATAAAAAATAATAATTTGTAATGTAAAGCCATAATTTGAAACATAACGAAACAATTATATGGGAACGTGCTTCTTGTTATATATAGTGAAGGAAAGCTCCTTTGAGAGGCCATAGAAAACCTTCTAATTGCTAAGTATAGGCTACTCACCGTTGTTTTCAAGTTTCAAATGCTGTTGAAGAATTATTTCATCAAATCTTTAAAATGAGTTGTTTAATATTACATTCGATATATCTTAAATCTTTTCTCAAACCTTCTAAGGTTTTCTGTTAAAATGATTTTTTGTGTTTTTTTTGTCTTAAATTTAAGTTATCAGATCCTATATTTCAAATCACAGAACAGTCCATTGAAGTAAGTGGTTATGATAATGGAAAATTATTGTACTTATATATAGTCATGAGTCATGACCACGTCCAATGAACCTTACACTCAAATTCAAACAAAAAAACTGTCAGATCTGTAGTACGAAAGAGTTACTCATTAAATTTCTTCTTTTAACGTACATGTGCATTATTGGATGGTTATTAAAACGTAAATGTTTTGTTTGATTTATTTTCAAGTTTTATTCACAAAATTTAAACGTAATCACGGGTTAAGCGTTTTTTTAAACGATATTCTCATTTACGTACCATATATTTTGAAAAAAAAAATAGTATTAGAACTTAAAAAGTTATAGATCAATTTACACATATATTCCAACTCTATCAAACATGAAAATGATTCGAGAGCATATATATAGTTTATACGTGTAAAGGCACTCAAAATTTGCAAATTATTTCCTCTCACAAAAAATTCCAATCATTTTATGAACCTTTAGCATAGAATATATGGAGATGGGACACATATACATACACATAATACACTGATTTATATTTCAATTCATATGAGAAATAAAAACAAAAACCCGCCGTTGTTCGTGGTAAGAAGCATGTTGCATGAGGATGTTGAGGGATTAGGCTCAATACATTGCACGTTTGATCTGTGATTGGACTTTGGACCACCATGTGCCATTTGAACATCTTTAATTCATTTTCATTTTTCTTCGAATGGTTCATGGTAACATTTGGGTTGATCGATTCGGTTTTGTATTATATATTTTTCTTATTATAAAATATAAAAAGAAAAACAACACTTTGTTCCAGAAAATGTTGGGAAGAGAGTTGTGTCGGGCAACACACTAAATACAATCGTCTCAGTTCTATTATTTACATCAAATAATGCGACATTTGAAATTATTAATCATGTGTTTAAAATTCTGTAGAAGCATAATGCTGAAACCAAATTAATAACTTCATCTAGTATGCGGCTAACCAGGCAGCTAGCAAATAAAAATACAAACGTTGTATTATTAGAAGTGTATAATTTATCTAATACTAAAAGTCGTAAGCAAATGAAAACTTTTATTGTATAATGAATTAAGCTTCTTTGGGCAAGACTGAAACCTATCATGTTCCGTTAGTGTTGCATTCATCGACAAAAGTTTATGAAATAGGTCCATCATAATTTTTAAATAGGGTTTAATAATATTAATTACAGTCTATAATTGGTGTGTGTGGCTACTTTCCTCGATTGATTTCCATAATCGTTTCTTGCTAATAATGTACTTCCAAGTCCCAAACTAAAAGTTATACACTGAAAACAATTAGGGTATTCGAATTATATATAGTTTGTCATACGAAAGAAATAAGTAAAAAAAAAAAAATTATAAAAATTTGAGATGTATACTAAGATACGTATCATAGCGATAGAGAACATATTGGTTAAGTGATTAGTGAGATTATGGTCCAATCCATTGCACTCGCGCGACTTTCCGTACCAACTCACAGCTATTTCCCTTTCACCTTTTTTCGACTTTATATTGATATAATTATGTACATAATCAATGTATATGCATATATAACCATCAAAAGTTAAATTCAGCTTACAAAATGATGACATCTTTAGAGAAAAAAAGAAGAAGAAGCAATTACTCTTTTATTTTTGTCAACTCTTAATTCCACTATATAATTACAATACGAATCCGAATTTTCTTTCCAAATTTTGTTTTTGATGAAGAATGAAGAGAGTGAAAATATTAGTTTTTTCAAATGTTTTCTAAATATTCTAATTAGTTCTTCATTCTTATACTAGAACTTATCTATATAAAAATTTCTTGATTTTCCTTTTCTTCTTTATTATTCAATTTATTTTTAGGCATATATATATATATATAGACACAAAAGGAAAAAAAGGATTAACATCACCATTAGCAAGGAATGTAAGAATAGAAGTAGAAGTAGAACGAATAAAAGGTTGACACGAGATGATAGAAAATGAGACACGATTAACAACGATAGGTTATAATAATGCTAAAAAAACTCATAAATAGCGAATTAATAACAACGTCGTCTTATGGAATAAGAAGAGAAGAAGAAGGACAATGAGCCACTTGCATGCGCGTAGGGACGATCCATAAAACCCGTACGTGTGAGGTGTGGCCTCTCTATCTCTTGTCTTGTCTAATCTGTTGTACCAATGTCTCGAGGAGTGTTACTTTCGTTATTGTTCAGAAAACGTATGGGTAATTTTGTCATTTCACTTATCGACAGGTTTTGGGTGGGATTGTTTTTTTCCCTTAACCTTACGTGATCACGACGACTTCTCCGTAACGCCGTGTCGAGATTTAAGCTTCGTACGTAAACTAAGCTTGTAATGTAAACACGAAAGATAATATCTAAGTTAGTTTTTATAATCTAAATTTCAGACAGATCATCTAAACTAATCTTTAAAACCAATAAGTAACTGAAATATCCTTCTTAAATAAGGTTCTGTACATCTCAGTTCTATAATCGATTAGACAATTTGTTAGGCAAAAATTGTTAGTACCATATCCCAAAAGAAAAGTCGACGATCGTTTCGTTATCACTAACCACTTAGGCATGTTACATGTTTATAACTAAATAGTACACAAATTAAATAAATGTAGATATATTACATATTTACATGGTATGAGTTATAAAATAGTTGGTTCGTGGGACCTACATTAAAAGATGGTTTATAATGATTTCGACTATTATTCTATTTTTAGAAATTAACAGTAGAAAATCATTCTATTCGATAAAAACGTAACAATAGTAACCAACTCATTGTGGTGGTATGGAGGATTCACCTTAAGGTTGAAAGACAATAGTTGGGAGTTTTTCTTTCCAGTTTTGGTTGATCATCCTAGTGGTTTTAAATAGGAGTGGCTCAACATTATTATGGACTCTAGGACAAAATTACTAAGATTACTAGCAAGAATAGCAAGATTTTTAACATTTGAAAAGTTTAATCTAAAAGTTTGGTACAAAATCCTCCAATTATCTTTTAGAAACGACAAAATCAGAAAAAATAATTTCTCTTAAGAAAATTTTATATTTTCATGATACACATTAATTATAGACTTTTACATTAGCTTATAAATAAAAATACACAAAATATGTGTCAATGTTTTGAACCTACGTACATATATTCCCAAAACTCAACTATACAAATCATTTTTTTTTCCTCTAAAATACAATTTGTTAGGCAACTATACTCAACTATACAAATCTAAACAAAAAAAAACTATACAAATCTCAAACATGTAATACCAATGACCTAAACTTCTCATGCCACATGAATTTTTAAAACTCATTAACAAGAATGTTGACTAGAAAGAAACTCTTTTACAAGTTTGTTGACTATATAAAAAAAAAAAAACTCTTTAACAAATACGTAAATGGTGTGAAAACAAAAATGGATCCGTTAATTAAGGGTAAGAGAATTTAAAGAAAACAGTGTTGAAATTATTTTTAACTAGAAAAGAAAACAAATTGGATAAAAAGCAAATGGAAAAGTCTTGGATCCTTCAACTACATATCTCTCATATGGGCGGCTCGAATAAATATCAAACGAAAATGCCCTCATTACTCTTCGAATTTACACAATGTGCCATCACCGTAGAAAACAAATAACAAAAAAAAAAAAGTTATCTTAGAAAATAAGGACTTGAAGACAGCAGAGAGAGACCAAGGAGAAGAAAAAGAAAAAAAAAGCTTTATCAGAAGAAGAAGAAGAAGAAGGACAAAGTTTGAGACTTTGTAAGATTTGAAGAAGATAGCTCGAAGCTGGTGAGGAGAGAAGTCAAATCCTTTCTCTTGTTTCCTTGATTAGATCGGGAATTCTACAAGTTGAAAGATTCGTTTTTTTTTCTTAAATCATTTCGAATCTGAACATTCGATTTCTGGTCATGTTTTGCCTGATTCGTCTCGAGCTTTCGTTGAATCGAAGAAGAGTTTATGCTTGAAAGCTCCGGATTTTGTGTTTACTTATTAGAACACTTATTAGCTAAGAGGTAGATCTGTTGAGTAGGTACGTTGGTTCGTTCCTCAGCTAGAGATATACAAATTTTCCCCTGAAAAAAAGAGGACTTTGAAAAAGGGTGGGTGAGACTCAGATCGATTTCTTTCTTCTACTTAGAGATGGATGAGGTAGGAGCTCAAGTGGCTGCTCCGATGTTTATTCATCATCCGATGGGGAAAAAACGCGATCTTTATTATCCGATATCGAATCGGTTGGTTCCATCTCAGCCGCGTAGTGATGAGTGGAATTCCAAGATGTGGGATTGGGATAGCCGGAGATTTGAAGCTAAACCGGTGGATGTTGAGGTTCTTCGGTTAGGAAATGAGGCACAAGAGTTTGATTTGACTTTGAGGAATACGAGTGGTGAAGAAAGAGGACTTGATTTGAATCTGGGAAGTGGTTTGACCGCTGTGGAAGATTTGACGCCGACGACGACGACGACTCAGAACGTTAGACCGAACAAGAAGGTTCGGTCTGGATCTCCGGGAGGGAATTATCCCATGTGTCAGGTGGATAATTGTACTGAAGATTTGTCTCATGCTAAGGATTATCATAGAAGGCATAAAGTTTGTGAAGTTCATAGCAAAGCTACTAAAGCTCTTGTTGGGAAACAGATGCAGAGGTTTTGCCAACAGTGTAGCAGGTAAGAAAGGAGCCTTATTTTCTGGTAATGGTTCTCTGTTTTTTTTTTGTGAATCTGGTATTAACTAAATGACTTTTGCAGGTTTCATCTGCTTTCTGAGTTTGATGAGGGAAAGAGAAGTTGTAGGCGTAGATTGGCTGGCCATAACCGACGTAGGAGGAAAACTACGCAGCCGGAGGAGGTTGCATCTGGGGTTGTGGTTCCGGGGAACCGTGATAATATTAATAATACCTCTACCGCCAATATGGATCTTATGGCTTTGTTAACTGCCTTAGCTTGCGCACAAGGTACACTAGTTTGCGACTATGCTTAAGTAATTTGGTCTCGGGATTCTGCTCCGATTTTCTTGTTTTGTTAACAAATTTTGTTGTCTGCGATCTGCAGGTAAGAATGCGGTAAAGCCAGTGGGGTCTCCAGCTGTGCCTGATAGAGAGCAGCTTCTTCAGATACTTAACAAGATAAATGCATTGCCTTTGCCTATGGATCTTGTCTCTAAGTTGAACAATATTGGAAGTTTAGCAAGGAAAAATATGGATAACCCAACGGTGAACCCCCAAAATGATATGAATGGGGCTTCTCCTTCTACCATGGACTTGCTTGCTGTTCTTTCAACAACGTTAGGCTCATCTTCACCTGATGCACTAGCCATATTATCTCAAGGTGGGTTTGGTAACAAAGACAGCGAGAAGACTAAGTTATCTTCTTATGAACACGGTGTAACAACCAATTTGGAAAAGAGAACTTTTGGGTTTTCTTCTGTTGGGGGAGAGAGGAGCAGTAGCAGTAACCAATCTCCTTCTCAGGATTCAGATTCACGTGGTCAAGACACTAGGTCTAGCTTGTCTCTACAACTATTCACCTCATCACCTGAGGATGAGAGTCGACCGACAGTGGCATCTTCTAGAAAGTATTATTCTTCTGCCAGCAGTAATCCTGTTGAGGATAGGTCGCCATCTTCCTCTCCGGTCATGCAGGAGTTATTCCCATTGCAGACATCCCCTGAAACCATGAGGTCTAAGAATCACAATAACACAAGTCCCAGGACTGGTTGCTTGCCCCTTGAGCTCTTTGGTGCATCGAATAGAGGAACTGCAAATCCTAATTTTAAAGGTTTCGGGCAACAGTCTGGTTATGCTTCTTCTGGCTCTGACTACTCTCCTCCTAGCTTAAACTCTGATGCTCAGGTTTGCAACTTTTCTACTCCTCTTTTAGCATCTCTTTGTACGTAGATAAAACAAGCCACTTATGGTTTTAATTTTGATGGTATTCAAACAGGACCGCACTGGAAAGATAGTCTTCAAACTACTTGATAAAGATCCAAGTCAGCTCCCTGGGACATTACGATCTGAGGTGATAATTTCTGGCCATACCCTGAAATATAATGTTATGTGTTACTTCATTTTAAGTGCTCATAGTCGTGATTGTCTCCCTTTCATTACAGATCTATAACTGGCTTTCGAACATTCCATCAGAAATGGAGAGTTATATCAGGCCTGGCTGTGTTGTTCTATCTGTTTATGTAGCGATGTCACCTGCAGCCTGGGAACAAGTGAGTGAAAATATTTAAGTATTTATTTGGTTATTGAATTTTAATATGCTATGTGCACCTAAGGAGCAGTTGGTGGTTTTTTTTTTTCAGCTCGAGCAAAACTTGCTGCAACGGCTTGGTGTTTTACAAAATTCTCCTTCTGATTTTTGGAGAAACGCGAGATTTATAGTTAACACGGGCAGGCAGCTCGCATCACACAAAAATGGTGAGTACTTACGAGTTGTTACTGCTATGTAACCTTAAAAGTTGTAATTTTTCTGTCAACAATGGTCATAACATATCATTGGTTACAGGTAAAGTTCGATGTAGCAAATCTTGGAGAACTTGGAATTCACCAGAGCTCATCTCAGTATCGCCTATAGCTGTGGTAGCTGGTGAAGAAACAAGTTTGGTTGTAAGAGGGAGAAGCTTGACTAATGAGGGAATCAGGTAAAACTTAAAAATCAAAGTTTCATACAGTTTCTCATCTTCTCTCTTTCCTTTCTAACCTTTTTATCATTGTGCTGCTAGTATTCGCTGCACACATATGGGTAGCTACATGTCAATGGAGGTAACCGGGGCAGTGTGTAGGGAAGCCATATTTGACAAGTTGAATGTAGATAGTTTCAAAGTCCAAAATGTACACCCTGGTTTTCTTGGACGCTGTTTCATTGAGGTATGACTTCTTAACACTGAACTTGATAGTTTTCTTTGTCGGTCCAGGTTTATAGCGATGTTTAACGCCTAGTTTGTGTACAGGTGGAGAATGGATTCAGGGGTGACAGTTTTCCATTGATTATTGCCAATGAATCCATCTGCAAAGAGTTAAATCGCCTCGAAGAAGAGTTTCACCCCAAAAGTCAAGATATGACAGAAGAACCAGCGCAGAGCTCAAATCGCGGTCCCACGTCAAGAGAAGAAGTTTTGTGCTTCTTGAACGAGCTTGGTTGGCTTTTCCAGAAGAACCAGACCTCTCAGCCTCGGGAACAATCCGACTTTTCCCTTGCCCGCTTCAAGTTTTTACTTGTTTGCTCGGTTGAAAGAGATTACTGTGCTCTCATCAGAACACTCCTCGACATGTTGGTAGATAGAAATTTGGTGAACGATGATCTGAACAGAGAAGCCTTGGAAATGCTCACCGAGATTCAGTTGTTGAATCGTGCTGTTAAGAGGAAAAGCACAAAAATGGTCGAACTACTCATTCATTACTCGGTTAATCCCTCAGCACTCAGTTCCTCCAAAAAGTTCGTTTTCTTACCCAATATAACTGGACCTGGCGGTATCACACCTTTACATCTAGCTGCTTGTACATCTGGTTCAGATGATATGATTGATCTACTCACCAATGATCCACAAGAGGTATGTCTCTCTCTCTCTCTCTCTTTAAATCCAATTTTTTCGCTTCCTTAAAACTGACAAAACCATTGCTTCTGTTTCAGATCGGATTATCGAGCTGGAACACTCTTTGCGATGCAACCGGGCAAACTCCATACAGCTATTCTGCAATGAGGAACAACCATAACTATAACTCCTTGGTGGCTCGTAAACTTGCAGACAAAAGAAACGGGCAAGTCTCACTAAACATCGAGCACGAGATAGTTGACCAAAACGGTCTGAGCAAGAGACTAAGTTCAGAGATGAACAAGTCATCATCTTGTGCCTCGTGTGCAACCGTGGCTCTAAAGTATCAAAGGAGAGTTTCAGGTTCACACCGATTGTTCCCAACTCCTATCATTCACTCAATGCTTGCGGTTGCAACGGTCTGCGTTTGCGTCTGCGTTTTCATGCACGCTTTCCCAATCGTCAGACAAGGTTCTCACTTCAGTTGGGGAGGTTTGGATTATGGCTCAATCTAGAGAAATATACTACTATATCATAAATTATAATTTATTCTTTTGGTTTCACAAAGACAAAAAAAATAAGAAAAAGAGAAGAGACTCTGGTACGGATATAAGGAGAAGCTCAGAGACATGACTGTGACACACGACCAAAGTGACTACAGTAATTTACTCGAGGGAGTTTCATCGTCGGGAGTTTTTTTTTTTTTTTTTTCTTTCTTCAATTATATATATTTTGGTTTGGCTAATTTGCTGTGTATTTCTGTGTATTTCCTTCTACATTTTCCTACTTTTTATGATTATTATTAGTATTTTAACTAAGATAATAACATGCTGCTTCGTATAAGAAGCAGTTGTTGTACTGTTTGTTTTTTGGTTCTTTGTCTTTGTAAATTTGTACTTTGTACAAGTAGTTCTCTTGTTGTAACTTCAAGAATTTATGTAACTTTGTTATTTCTTACTCTCGAAAGTCTAAATCTATAACCATTTTAAACTTTATATTGCTATATATGTGGAACAAGGTTTGGTGGAGATCAATAGAGGAGGAAGAAATGATAAAATGAAGATGGAGGAATCTTGTCACATAGAGCCCAAAAGGCTATATAATAACATGTTAACGATTCCCACGTGGATTGTCGAGCTTATGAAACATCACAACTCACAAGTCACGAAATCTTTAATTCAAAGATATGTTTTTGTCACAAGTGAAAGATTCTTGAAATTAGTGTGACTCCGTTACTTAATAAACAAACATACCTAAAGATTCTTGAAAATATTTGACAGAGGAGATGACATTAATGCCGCTTTTGAAAAGAAAACTATTGAAAGAGAGAATGAAAGTGAAATCGTTTGTAAGGTTACATTTCAAAAGTTTATTCTTGTGCTATAAGCTAAGTCAAGCAACTCTTGATTTTTGATTTTCTTTCACTTTTTAACTCTATGTAGGTTTTGTTAAGTTTTATGCGTGTCCTACTTAAATCCAATTGACAATAATGAATACATTGACATTTACTAGTGTTAGTGTTTTAAAAAAATTAGTGTGAAATCGTAACATATTTGACGCGTATGTATAGGACTTCAAAATTGATGAAAATTTGAAAATGTTATAAAACAAATGTAAGAAGTTTGAAATAAAATGTGAGTGGTGGGTCTCATTTCTCATTATATAAGATTTGAATGGGAGTTAATTAACTTTGATATATATACCTCTCTTTTCCGAGATGCTTTTTAGGTATTAGCCTTTTGGCTTTCCTTTTTTTTTTTTTTTTTTTATGTAACAGTAAAATGGAAACAATTATATACATACTTTTCCGTATTTTCAAAACATATACTAAAAGGTTATATGCATTTGATCTAGTTGCAATGTATTCGATAAGCACATACACGTGAAACACAAGAGATTCTCTACTTCTTAATTAATTAGTTAATGAAAAACAAAACACAAAACATTATAAAACAATACTACTCATATATCCAAGCTAATTAAACAAATACACATTTTTCTTATAGTTGTATATATATACCCCCAAATTAATCAAAATGATATATATCCCCCACCCAAAACTCAATAAACACTAGCACATGGATCATCGATGTACTTATCAAACGCATTATCAACTCCTAGCAATCTCCACATACAAAGCATAATTAACACACATAATTAGTAAATCATCAAACAATCCCCAAACTTCATAACTACCCTCCTCTGACACGTGGAATTACCCTAGTAACACCGCTATTTCCGCCTCCGCCGCCGCCACCACCACCACCTCTAGTCACACCGTCTATAATAGCTTCACCAACACCTTCACCAAGACCATCGATTATACCACCGAGAAAATCAATAACAACCTGCGACGCCAACCTGGCCGCCGTTCCCAAAACCGCCGGAGACTTATCCCTCCCTTTATGTCCGTTTGCACGGAGGCCGTTCACGGCGGCGTCTTTGGCACAAACGGCATGCAAGTGGTAATCGCAGACGGTGCAACGGTAAACCCTCCCCGTTCGCTTACCTCTCTTGCACTCTCCGCAGAGGAATCCTCCGAGTCTCCGCCGGTGGTGTTACCTGCTGAGGAAGAGGGGAGGAGGCGGAGAGGGTGGTGGTGGAGGGAGGAGGAAGAGAGGGAAGGAGATAACATGGCGCAGCCAGGATGCATTTGGAAACTGCAAGCTTTGCATCTAAAAGTGTAACCTTTTGGTGATCTTCCACACACGTCACATTTTGATTTTACTAGCCCTCCTTTCGCTGTTATTCATCATAAAATAAAATAAATTATCAACAATATTTTTGTCCTCTCAAAACTAATGTTTGAATCTTTTGTTTCGTAATATCATTAGAGTAGAACGTGACATCAAATATGCGTAGATATAATTATTTTTCAGTCATTTTGTAATTTTGCAAGTAGCTTAGGTTTTGGTGTCTCCATTTTATTCCAGCATCAGCAGTTTCGTACTAGAGCCAATTAAGTTTGAAGTTTTCAATCTAATACGTTTATGGCGTTTTAGAAAGGTTATTCTCTGTTGTTTAATTAACGTACGTAACCAACATTTAATATTTTTAATGTTGATACCCCTCTAAACCAAATAATTATTTTGTTTAAAGCAAAGCATAATTATTCTAAGTAAAGCAATCAATATATACGATTCTTTTATATACTTTCGTGAGTCTAGCTCTTGGTCTGAAAAACAAACAAAAGACATAAGCATCAACACGAAAAAGAAATGTCGGAAGAAATAAAACCGATCAAGTCGAGCCGTTTCCATAATTTATACCAAAAATACTCCGCAAGTCCAACAAATAATTAAGGATATCAAAAGACAAACTTATAAAGACGTACCAGGTTTGGCAAAGAAGAGAAGTTGATGCTGGTAATGAAAAGGGTGTGATTTGAGTAGAGGAGGAGCCAAAGCACAAAACTCGTGGAGCTGATAATCACACTCTTGACACACATACCTAACCCCTGCTCCTTCTTCTTTGCACCCAGCACATGTGTAGATATCCGGCAACTCAACTTTGACCAGCACGTGTTGGGGATGTCCGAAATGGACCATCTCTTCACCTTGTATCAGTTGAGGAGATACAGGGAACTCTACTGACCGCGGTCGGGGTGTTTTGTTAAGATCATTTGTGCGAACCACCGGGGCTGAGGCGGTAGTGTTTGAGGCCGAACGTCTTAGAGCTGTCGTTGCGGCGGTAGTGGAAGTATCGTTCCTGGAATTGGAATTGATGACTATGGATTTGCTTCTCATCATTCTTCTTCTTAAAAATGAAAAATTTGAGTTGGTGGGGGAAGTTATGACTGATTAGGGTTTTATGTTTTTTTTTTTTAGTGTGAAATTTGTAGTGGAAATTAGGAGGTGGAGGTGAAAGATTATTTATGGTGGAAATATTGAAAACTGTTACAATTACATAGACAAGTTTTGCCATAGATGAGAAATATAGTTGCTTTAGGTTTCTAGAAAGAAATTAAAGAAGATGCTTTGTGGACTTATTTGTCATGTAATTGCATGGGCAGTTACGTTGAAAAAGTTAAAACTAATAACAAGGAGTTAGATTATTTGTTTATTTAACTGCAATGAGCCAATGAACAAAGTTAATTAATATTGATGTGCCTATATGCGAGGTAGGATCATTTGTGCAGTTAGCCAGTTAGGGTTTCTGGTATGATTTCATTAAATATTAATTGTACATGTACGTAGTCGTAGTTCTTTTTTCTTCTCATTACCCCTAATTCTAACTGTACATTTTATTCGGTAAATATACCGCAAAAATAAGAACTACTCCCTCAAATATCTTTTGGATGGAAATTGTGGATTGGCGAAGTTCACCCCAAAAAAGGCTAAATTTGCGATACAATTCAGTTGGCTACACTAGTTTACTTGCTTTTGCTAAATTACTTGTCGGCAACCACCGTAAGAATTATGGCATGCACTCTTTTGTCAATATTGTGTTATACTTTTCTTTTATTTATTCAATTCTAATTTATAACTTTACCATGAATTTTTCTATTCCTAAAAGTTTATCTGTTTTTTTTGTTCAAATCCGACATTAGAATATATCACAGAAATGTATTGGGCCACGATTTTATTCTTATTCCTCGCGAGATCATACAAAACATTTGTAGTGATAGTTTCCAAACATAAATAAATTTTCAAATACCAGCTCAAAAGTTGTATTTGTTTATTCAGTGGTAGGGTTACAACTTACAAGAACGTTCTTGCAAAAATATCATCCTATGAAAATACTCAAACTTAGGGTTTCAATTTTTTTTTATATGAATGAATCATGAAAAATCTATCATATAAGAATCTCAAAACTTGAACTATAAACAACGTTTATGACCACACTAAAAGGTAACCAAATCATAGAAATAATTATATTCTTCCCCACGACTCAGGCAGCTTCTCACAACATGTTTTCTTGAAATTTAGAGAGATTCACCATTTCTTTATTACACTTTTGAAATTTGTGAGAAATTTCCAACCATATAAATTAAAGGAAGAAAATATATTATAAGAAACAATATAAACTTTCTGCTGTGTATGCGCTGTAAGGGGAGAAGAAGAGCATCAACGAACAACAGAGGACTGACACTATGAGATAGATTCTCACTCAATTAAAAGACATCAAAACTTGACTATAAGTCTTGATTTAGCCAATTGTCTCACTTTGTTCAGTTCCACAAGTTATTCCACACTGTCATTTCATCTTTGGATTAGTCATTATTGGATTAATCATTCTTTCTCGATTATTACTTTCTCCATTAGACAAATATGAAACGTACGTAGTTAATTAAGATATATAGAGAAGCGAATATAAGAATATTTATATATCAGCCATACTAATAAGTAATAACAGTAGTTTTCTCTTTATTCTCATGCATTGTTTTTGGATAATATGAATTCTTGAGGATAGATCTGTCTAGATTATGCTTAGGAATGGACATTTGATTTTGTTTTATACATGCAGTTAGGTTATTCACTTATTCTGGTTTAATAAAATTAAACTATAAACTGAATTCTGATTAAATAGGTTATTTCACTTTTGGTTTGGTGTGGACCGTGTGGTAATAAGAGTCTAAATTCTAACTTTCTAAGTAAGGTATTAAACTATTAAAGAGGACATATAGATGACGATGGCTTATGTGAGTTTGAAAGAAGAAGAAAAAATATCGTATGCAATTCACAAATGCACGTTTTTGGTTATTTAAAAGTACGGATATTTCAGTTATTTTTTAATAGTGCAGTTCGATTCAATTAGTTCGGTTATAGTATAATTGAAGTCTTACCAAAAAAAAATGGTTTGGTTTAGTTTGCTTTGGATTCTTTTCGTTTTGGTTCTGCTAATAGGTCGTCACTTCTAATTATGATTAACGATTATACTCTCTAATTGCTTTTGTTTCTGCAATTTACCTTTGAGAGTTTTGGTGTCGATTATAATTTTCTGACGGATGTTACATATAAACTTTTTTAATCCTGTTTTATCTTCATGAGTACATGTAGATCAGATCAATCTAACTCACAAAATTGCCATTTGATAGTGTAAGTTGAGGCAGGTTTAATTGGGCTTGTAGGCATGCTTAATTGGGCTTGCGAAAGCCCATAATATGATATTAGATAATACAGGACCTAAGTTAGACCCAGACGGATGTAGCAAGCTGGAGTTAGCCCATACGGATGAGGCTAACTCGTTAACGAACTTGTGCAGTTTCGTAAATATGAATTAGTTTACGTTCGTTATTGTAAAATAGGGTTCGACGAACCTGGTAGGCTGTTAAAGAGACACGTAGGATAGTAACTCTTGTCGGCTAAATGATGCTACGTACGTGGCTTTTACTTTTATAGCATAATCCTTGTCCGTATACTTGGTTTGGTTCCTTCGAAAAGCTACTTCCCCAAATCGAGGACCTAACTCCGATAAATGCTGTCTTCGTATCTTCATGCGTATTCATAGTTTATTAATTTCTCTGAGATTATATCATTCATTCATCTCTCTTGTCTTTACCCTTATACGAAGAGTCCTTTTTGGATTTTCGAATGACAATTTAATTTATAGATAACTTCCATTTAACTCCTCACCATTTCGGAGGGTTAGTCGACCATATCACTACTCTTATGGCTATGCGTGGTTTAGTATACGTATGTTTGTGGTTAATTCTACAATTTTTGTTTGCTTGTTGATTCAAATTTAAACACTTGGGATATATTAAGGTTAATTGTACTCGAACTTATTTGTTTTAACAAAATCTAGTTTTTTTTCTTCTTCTCCATATAGCCTCTTTTTTATGAAATTGTTTAATGCATGAACATTTTGTTTAAGAAGAGTAAAACTTGATATTTTTTCCTGATTTTCTTAATAGTTATGAAATACAGCTTCATATATATCTCCAGACTCCACATTATTTATGTATTGACAAAACAAATCAAATCATGAGAGATAGATTAAACATAATTTTCAACCAATTTTAAAAGTAAAATAGGAGTAAGAAAATATATAGGGCCTGATTGGCAAGTGCTTTAGAGTCTTTACAAAGCAAAAAAAATTTCTAAAGATTTGAAATACATCCAATCAAGCTTTAGAAGCTTTAGCTTTCCTTTTTTTTCTCACAGCCAAAATATTTCCTTAATTCATTTTTTTTGCTGTAGAAAGCCTTTTTTCCTAAAGCACATAATTTTTAACTTTCCAAAATTTTAAATTCTACAGCCAAAATACTACAGCAATAAAATCTACAGCCACAGCAAATAAACCTACAGTCATATTTCTACAGCAAAAAATGTAAAGCTACAGCTGTTACCAATCAGGCCCATAATCTTTTGTAAAAAAAATCTCTAAGGAAAATATGATAAATTGATAAGATCAGCTTATTGAATATATTAATTAATATGTATCCTAGATTTTTCTAAAATAGTTTATCATAGTAAAAATTAAAGTGAGTTGCCTAATTGTATATTCATATCTAATCTAGTATCATCACGACGTTCAGCTCTAATCTAAATCAAACCCCAAAGTTTTGAATATTGTAATTTTCTAAGTTTGAGGATATCTTTTGGAAGCGTGTAATTAAATAAGGGCCAAACATGTTTTCCCATTGGCTCTTCTTCGCCACCAGAAGCAACTTGCAAAAGAGAGTGAAGCACCCAAATATATAAAAATCTTCAAAAGAAAGGGTTCAAATCCTTTTTATAGTGCTGCAAATTGCACTTTAATTTTTTTTATGGTCATCCAAATTGCACATTAATCTTTGTAAAACAAATATATACGATTTTGGGTAATGATATAAAGTAGACAGTAGTGGACCCGTCACACCTAATCGTACCCAATGTATAATCCGGTAAGGTTCGGTTCCATTTGTCCGCATTCCCGAACTAAGAAAATGGAAAGAAAAATACATAATAGTGTGTTTTTTTTCTCTTAAACACTACGGACAAAAACTCTAAAAACATTTTTCGGATTGTAAACCATAGTAGGGAAAATATAGTTTAAACCTCGCAACAGATGTTGGCCTGACTCGTCCAAAACATGGCTATAAATTTTAACTAGTTTAGCTAATGTTCCGATTTGATTTGTGTGGTTAACATTATCGATATGCGGTCCATTTTTTATAGGACCAAATCTGTAAAATATGTTTTGGATGGAGTAGGTTTTCATTTTCCCGAGTTCATGCATGATCTCTAGTTCTTGAAACTTGCATGTTATTGGCTTGTACTAAGATAACCCTCGTTTTTTTGACGACTCACGTGGTCAAACGGTGCACAAAGGTCACGTGAGTCACGTGCATTCTTCTGTTTCAACGACTCTTCTCTTTTGTTTCTTTTTTGCCAATTTGAAGAGATAAGAATACAAAAAGACATTTCTTCCACTTTCCTCATCGCCGTTCTATGCTCACTTTCTTCGGTCGGATTTCCCAATACATTGTTAACTATTAGTGGTCACATTTTTGGTCATATCATATTTTTATGACGTGGATCACACTTCTCTTTTTACATGCCTATCTCCTTAATTAATATATTTAATTGCATTCGACATCAAAAGCTAATATCTATGTTTTATACTCCATTAGTTGTTAGTTCACAAAATGCAACGCATATGGAAAATGTTTTATTTGTTCAGTACATGATAAACTCGTAATCAAATAAAACAGAAATGTTTTTTTTTGTCAAATGGTTAAGTATTTACAAATCATTAAATTTGGAGTTGTGATAGTCATTTCATAGTAATTCATTTAGCAACAAAATTAAAAGGTTCTGTATTCTAAATAATTTGGTTATTCTCTCAACCCAAATTTTGATTTACTAGAACACTCACAATCGTTACCCGATAAAGTAACTTAATGCATCATTGCCCATAATAATGTCTAAGTACAAAGGAGATTCTCTAAGACTACATGGTTTGACTCTCTTTTTTACATTGTTTGACTTTTACAAGAGAATCTAACAGGTAAAAACGATACACACACATAATTACAAAGCAATTCTAGTCTCTACTTCTAAATTTTAATTTGTTTTTAACTTTTAACTAGAAACGAACTCCATTTATTATTTCTTGGATCACGTTAAGTAACGTGGCAGCTGAACGCTGACCTATGACTCAAAGTGAGTCCCACTCTAACTATTATCTCGACGGCTCTGGATTCGCCACGAATGTGAACCGGAGGAGGGTAAAAGCGTCCGACACGTCCCACAAAAAAGGATTACACGAGAAGGCTCTCTTCTCATCCAACGGTTCAGATTTAACCAGACTAGTCTCTCTTCTGTCTCTTCTCATAGACATACCCGTCGATCTGTCTTGCCTTTTCATCTATCGCCACCTCTTCTCTCTTTTTCTTTATTTATCTCTTCAATTTTCGGATTTAAATTGTAAAGAATTAGGATAATACTATTTGTCTTTCTAATTCTGACCATTCTTAATTATCATTTTCTTATTTGACTTTTTCAAATTGAAGTGTGGGAGTTCCTTTATTCTTGTTGTATCACCCTCAATACTTAACTAGGTTTGACATCCACATATGTGTTTGTCCGCTATATTATACATATGAATAGATCTATCATTATATAACACAAGTCATAAGCTGAGAAATTATTATGCTAATTTTTTTAGTCGTCCGATAAATGAGAAATATCAAGAAACGTAATTCTTTATGACCATATGGAACAATATATATCGCATTTCAACTTTTATTTTTAACCTTTTAAAACTTTCCTTTTAGGTCTTCTAGATGCACACTGGACAGACACGCATATTCAAGATACGTGTGTATTTGGAGGACTTCAAAAAAAAAAAAAAAAGCGAGATAATGATTTCCCCAAATTATATAAAGAAAAAAACAAATTGATTTTCCCAAATAAAGGAGTCAGAAAAATATAATTAAGGAACAAACAAAAAAGATACCTTTAATAATAAACAAAAATAACTCTTAAATAATTAAAAAATGAATTTCCTATGAAATATAAACCGCATAAACTTATCGTGACCGCCTTAAGAAAAAATAAAATAAAAAATAAAACCCTTTATTTCCTCTCTTTCAGCCGCCGCTTTCACTTACCTCTTCTCTTCCTCTTCCTCTTCCTTCTTCTTCTTTACCTTGTTCTCGTAGGTTTTTTCTACACACTGGAGCTCGCAAATCTGGCTATCGAAAACCACAATCACAAACTCAACTTCGGGGCCTTCAAGGCCAATCACAAGAAAGTCATGGTGATTCTTCTTTCACCCTTTTTTTGTTTGTTTTGCCTTATCATCTAGCTTCTCCAGATTATGATTTGGTCTAATATTCTCAGGGACCAATGATAAGAACAGAGGAAGAAGAAGACTATACGAGTCCACCGTGGCTAATGCCAATGCTACGAGGGAGTTACTTCGTCCCTTGTTCGATCCATGTCGATTCAAACAAAAACGAATGCAATTTGTTCTGTCTTGATTGTGCTGGAAATGCCTTTTGCTCTTACTGTTTAGTCAAACATAAAGACCATCGTGTTGTTCAGGTTCAATATCTCTTCTTTTCCCCTTCAAAATCTCAGTTTTTATAATTATTTCAATGTAAGTGAAACGAATTTGGTTTAAACCTTGCAGATACGAAGATCTTCGTACCATAACGTGGTGAGAGTGAATGAGATACAGAAGTTTATAGACATCTCTTGCGTTCAGACATATATCATCAACAGCGCAAAGATCGTGTTCCTCAATGAAAGACCTCAGCCTAGAATCGGCAAAGGTGTTACAAACACTTGTGAAATCTGTTGCAGAAGCCTCCTTGATTCTTTCAGGTTCTGCTCTCTCGGCTGCAAGGTATATATCACAAACCACTCTGTTTTTTCCTCTGTTTTCACCATTTTGTCTTAAAAAAATCAGTTGTTTTAAACCAAAATTTAAAACTTCCTAAACCCATTTACTGCATTTCACTTCTTAATGATATCAATGTCAAATTTTATTAGTTTTGTTCATGATTTATGTGGATATGCTCTGTTTTCGAATGTGATTTGTGGAAATGACTATATTGTCCTTTGGTTGTTTTTGACTGTGTCAGCTTGGAGGAATGAAGAGAGGAGATTCATCTCTAACCTTCTCTTTGAAAGGGAAGCATGGTAGAGAGTACCAAGGTGGGTCGGAATCAGATGAAGCTACTACACCAACTAAGATGCGTAAGACCAATGCTTTCAACCGTCTGATGAGTGGTCTCTCGATCTCAACCGTTAGATTCGATGACTACGGTCCTGGTGGTGATCAAAGGTCTTCAAGCTCTGGTGATGAAGGTGGTTTTAGTTTCTCTCCGGGAACACCTCCGATCTATAATCACCGGAATTCAAGCAGACGAAAGGGTGTCCCTCACCGTGCTCCGTTCTAAGAAGATATAATTACTGAATTTCAAACCCCATAATAATTAATTATAAATAGATAATGGTATAATACGTACTAATAATACGCATCGATATAATGTATATAACTTGGGGTGAAATTTAGGATGTAGTCATAATGTTGTAAATGTGGCCAATGTCTTTTTATTTCTTTTTATAGTATTTCTCAAAAGATAAAGGTGAAATAATTAGAACACACATAAATACATTTTTTATAAATATAGAATTAGGTTTTATAGTGAAGTGTTTGATGTTAGCTTGTTTAAAAGGTATGGCTTTGTCTTGAGTTGTAATGTCATGTAATGTGTACATTAAATTTTTGTTCATACAATAATAATATCAAGGTAAATGATATATTATAAAGTTGATGCGTTGTCTAATGTCTACTACATTTAGTCTATTCACCATGGAAATAATTACATGGTTTATGATAAAACAAATGTTATAGTGTACCTATCTTTTCATGAACTAAATTGATTTATATGGTAATGTATAACTGAAGTCATGGCGTCATAGTTACATGGGTTAGTATATTGAAGTCGTAAGAGTGACACTGAAACATATTTTTTCAATACTATTGATTGATTTGTTGTAGTTTGACGTAATCAAGAAGAATATTATAATAGTATACGCTAAAGAATATTATTATGCTATTGAAAAAGTGAGCAAGTGGATAGACGGAAATAAGAGCCGTGTGGAATCCGAAAGGCTGCGATTCTCTCTCACCGTTAAGAGACGGGTGTTCATTACTTTTTATGATCTCTTAATATTCAACATCATAGTTTAAGCTCTCTACTAATCCACGGAATCGAATAATTGGCAGACTTTTATTGCTTATACAAGTTTTCATGTGTTACGATAATGTTTTAATTATGCAATTTCGTAAATTCACACACAAATCGTTTTCTGTAGCCTGTTTTAGGTATCCCACAAATTAATATCATCACAACTTTTATTTTTATCAAAGTAGTTCCGAGCATGGTCCATAATTTATCTGAGTCAAAAACTAGAATTTCAAATTATCTTTTGTTTTAAATAATCACAACTTTTATTTTTACGAAACTATTAGCATCAAAAATTAATTATAAAACTTATTGTAGTTCGTTTTATACAAAATTGAGTAGTTACTCAAAAATGTTCCGATAAATTAAACAACTGAAAATGCATGCTTGTTCCAAGTTAGTAGTTAACCGAAAAAGAATATAAACGATATCTAATAAAAATCGGACTCGCACTTGTAGTTTTGAAGGCCACCACAACATATATATGCATCTCTGTCTAAATCTTTGAACAGAAAGAAAGAAAAATATCTCATTATTCTAACCTTATTCTTTTGGATAAAACTCTTTGCTATTTTAAAACTATCCTTGCCAAAAACAAAACATGTATACAAGAGAGTACTATTGCGGCCAAGGACTCTGCCATGTAATCGTAGAGACGTAGACCAGCCCCTACCGGCTTAGGCAGCGACCGAATGGGGGCATTATAGACTTTTCGAAAGGTCGGACTTCCAACTAGTTGCGCATCCTCGTCACTCCGACTACGACACGTGTCGAATAAACCCATTAAATGCATGACACGTGTATTGAGAGAAAGTGAGGGGACCACGTGAGACCTTGTGTGGAGTTATCTTATTCAGTCTCCCAAGGCGTTAAGTAATCAATAATATTAATGGGAACGCTAGCGACGCGACGGGATAAGGATTTGGTCATGTATTTAACTATTTCTATAGTTTTGGTGTCGCTATCGGAATTCTGATATTTTGTTTGTTTTTGTAACTTTACTTAAATGTGGAATATAGTACTTGTTCTTAATGATCAAATTTAGTTAACGAAAATAGCGTTAAAAAACATTAATTAAAATCTAGGATTGCTGACAATTAAGATAACAAAATTTGGACTAGCTTGCAGTTTCACAAACATATATTACACATTAGGGATGGTTTTGTTTCCTACAGTTTTCATGTGTTTACTAAAAAATATTTTTATGAAATAAATCCCACCTTGTCTATGTCGGCCGTACTCTTCTGTCTTCTTGGCTCCTAACCCTATTATTATCTACGAATTACGATGAAAGCCGAAATTTCCACAGTACCAAAACAAATTAATGTATGGTTCAAATTTGATTGAAAAAGATACTTAAGAGAGGCAAGAAATGAGACTATATAAACAAGGCAAAATCTTATACAATATAAAAATTATTAGAACGGATAAGTTCGGTTATTCGTAAAGGCTCTGGTTCGTGGAATCACTAATTACGTATTGCTCTTTATATTATGTTAGACGTTGTTGCTAATTATCTTGTACTATCTGTTGATTTCTTACATTTTAAATACAAAAATTTACACTCAGATATTCTATTTAGATAAATCATCACTCTTCATTCATACATTGGTACACTACAAAAGGTAGGCAAGGATAATTTTCAGCATGGGGACAGGCAATATAGACGTAACCCTGAGGTCTATTTTTGGTTGTATCAATCCTCCTATATTGTTTGTTTCCGCTGGGTCCATATATGCCTAAGGCTATTTTTGGTCCGTGGGTTTCTATCTTCCAAGAAACTAATTCTATAAATCACGACGAAACTATTATATACGTCATAGACAGATAGACTCGTAGGATATTTATAGCTTTATTTTGACAGTAATGTTATATATATATATATTTATATACTAGTTTGGACAGTGAATGACTTGTACTTTGGTGTGGTTCTGCAAACGTCAAGTCTGTTGTGAACCGTGGTTTTGCAACTATTGGCGAATAGTTTGTTTGTGGATAAAATCAAGACGATGGATCAATTTTTTTTTTTTTTTTCGAACAAACAACGATGGATCAATTTTTATGTACGTATTCATGAATACGAGCATCTTCTTGGGTTACCAAAACGTTTATACAAAAAAGATTTCCATAAAACAAACCAAGTATTAAACATTTACGTGCATGATTTTGTATCTTAACAACGAGAACGAGGCATGGAAATCAAATGAAGTGATGTACATCGATGGGCTTTTGAACCCAAAACAAAAGAAAAGTATATCGATGGGCATGAAGAGTAATGATAGCAAATATGTAATGCCATCGACTAGCGCAATTGGGCCCATATTAATTATTAGGCCCTTAGAAGCCCAAGTCTCGGCAACCTCTAATATGAACATGTTCAGAAAAATATCGGAACAAATAATTGAGTGTAAGTTATCAACACTAACCAGAATTAGGAATACTTCTGGTAAAAAACAAAAAGACGACGTGTGACGAGGTTCTGTCCACACACGATGGCTTATATCTGCCGTCTTATTTGATTTTTTTTTTTAAATAACAGATTAATTTGTTTGTATGATATGGGTTGTTAATTATTTTGGATTTGTCGGGTAAACATGTGAACATCGTCACTAAATCGGACGACATATCGCGACCCACATTAATTTTTCTGGTCCCTAATTATGAATTTTTATTCTGCATAAAGATTTGATACGTGTGATGATTTTTTCTCGTGTGGATTTCTTGTGAATTATTTCATGCACAAGAAGTTGCTAGAAAAACGTGAGAAGTGATCTTTTCATAAGCCAGGTGTGAGCACACACTAACACACGAATAACAGCAATTATATTATACATACATATGCATATTAATTAGTAGTATTATATTTACTAGGAAGTTAGATAAGCAATCAATCTTTCCAAATAATCAACATATAGAAAAAATAAGGAGAAATTACACTACTTTGTCTACAATCTTTTTAGCTATGTTACAAATTAAACTTATTTTGAGTTACTTGAAAACTCATGTCCGACTTAATATTATATGTGGTTAAGAATTATTATTACAGTTGCTATAAAAAAAATTCTGTAGATTTGTGTTGATACTTATATATGCATGCTGACGCGCGATATATAGATATGCTTTAATTCGCTAAATGTAGAAATGCATTAAACACCGACAAAGATAAAATAAACACCGTTTGAAGACAAATGCATTCGATAAGTACGTTTTACTTAATATCAATCAAAGTTTCTCTGAATACATTACGGAAAGTCTAAGATTGTACAACATATAATATATTGGATTAGACTCTACCAAAGAGGCAAAGATAGTCATAGTCTCTCACAAAATCGATTCATGCATGGAGAATAAAAGGCACTAAGAGAACAGGGGAAATCAAATTAAAATAATAAAACAAAACAGACAGGTCAATAGAGTAACTTATACTTGGAATTTTATATCCAGTTGGTGTTTTCTTGGAATAGAAGGCACATATATGTATCATATAATGAAGGATTATAAAATATATACTTATCAATTTAGAATGTTAAAAATCCGAAAAAAGTGAAACCATGATAGATTTCTCTTTTTATTAGGAATGTGGCCTAACTTAACCCAAAAGCTAGCTCAAGAGTTAAGGATTGCCACATCATTTATATACTACCCAAATATCTTAATCTCAAGCAATGTGGGACATTCTAATAGGCCTCCTCGAGATGTGGGTGGGAAACGGTCCAACGGGAAACAGCCCAAGCCCAACATCTCGGAAATACAACAAGACATGCCACTTATATGGGCCACATAGGTGGGAAACCATTTTTGTGGGAATTTGCTTGTTGGGCCAACCTTGGGCTCTGATACCATATTAGGAATGTGGTCTAACTTAACCCAAAAGCTAGCTCAAGAGTTAAGGATTGCCACATCCTTTATATACTACCCAAAGATCTTAATCCCAAGCAATGTGGGACATTCTAATACTTTTCTCTTCTATAATATTTTGATGACATAGAAAATCAAAGTTTCGACTCATTTAAAATATAAGACCCAACCAAAATGTATCCCAACAAAATTGCACTGAACTCTTAACTGAATTGAATAGATTTGGTTATAAGCTCATTTATAGCTTTTACGAGAACCAAACTATATAACCCAAACAAAGCCGAAGTACCCATCCTAGTAACACTAATGCATACTGTATACATATGCCAGGCAAATTACTTGATATGTGGTTTGAAATAATCTTTTAGCGCGTTATATACCAAAAGGAAAGAATATGGTAGCGTAGGTCGTAGGGTGTGCGATATTGTTTGTTTGACCGTATAATATGCAAGTTCAACTCTAATGTATGAAGTTTGGTATGGACTTTGAACTACTCGTTCGTCACGTTCAGAAAATGTAAATATGTCAAATATCAAATCTCTAACTATACTGCAAAAAAAAAAAAAAAACTAAAAACAAATGTTCAATTTAAATCACGACTATGTATTTATAGCTAGCTCGGTCTAATAAATAAGTCAGCGTGTGTACATGCATGTGAAGCCTGTTTGATATATGCATATCATGCGACCCGTCCGAGTTTACTCGGTCCGGACAGGGCCGGCTCAATTAATTTGGAGTCCATGTACAAATTTTTAAAATTGGTCTTTTCTTCATACAAAAAAGAAAAAAATGGGCCTTTTTCATATTAAAAAAATCTTTAAAATTGATCTTTTTCATACTAAATTAAATATTTGGGCATTTTTCATATTAAAAATATCTTAAAATCTTTAAAATACTCTTTTTTTTTTAATAAAAAAACAAATTTGGACTCTTAAATTTACCCAAAAAAATTTGGCCCGGAACATTTGCTCCCCTAGAACACCCCTAACGCCGGCCCTGGGTCCGGTGGAGAATTGGAGAAATAATTAGTATTTAATTTATAATTTAAAACTTGAACATAAGATCAGGCTCATTCTAAGCGATATGAATTTAGAAATTCAAAAAAAGTTAGAAACGGGAAACAATCAAACTGAAACAAACAAAAAAATGGAAAGAGAACAGGATTTGTTTAGCAAAAAAAAAAGAGAACATGATTTCTTCCTTCTTTAAAAAAATAAAATAATTTCTTTCTCTTTCGTATGTATTGTTTACTAGTTTAGATTATAATTTTGTTTATTTCTTAATTTGATTTATATCTTTCCTTTCAATAAGTGAGTTGTTTTTAAAGGTCCAACCCAAACTAATAAATTAAACTGCCGCCAAAAGGTTTAAAAATTAGTAAGTTAATAATAGTAGTATACTAGTTTATGCTCCCTGATTGTATCAACCATTAAGTTAATAAACTGCCGCCAAAAAGTTATAATAATGGTGTTGACTCCGTACGTGCATGAAACTAGTAAAATTATGATATTTTTTTCCAAAAAGATCTGCATGAGTAAATTAAATAGAGATTCTCTATTTTCACCTCTATATATAGAGAAAAGAGCATCTCCAACCCAGGAAAAAATAGAGATTCTCTATTCTCACCTCTATATATAGAGAAAAAAATAGAGATCTCTATTTTAGAGGTGAGAATAGAGGTGGGTTAGAGTAAATTTGCCTCTAAAATAAAGTTTAGAGGCAAATATAGAGATGGGTTGGAGATGTTCTTAGAGCATCTCCAACCCATCTCTATATTTGCCTCTATAAATAGAGGTAAATATAGCAATCTCTATTTTAGAGGCAAATATGCTCCAACCCACCTCTATTTTGCCTCTAAAATAGAGATTGCTATATTTGCCTCTATTTATAGAGGCAAAAATAGAGTTCCTCTATTTTATAGAGGAAAAAATAGAGATCTCTATTTTAGAGGTGAAAATATAGTGAGTTGGAGTAAAACTCACCTTTATTATAGAGTTCCTCTATTTTAGAGGTAAAAATAGAGAAAACCATTGGAGATGGTCTAAATAGAGTTTAACTTTTTAGATGAATAAATAGAGGAATACATTGGAGTAAAAATAGAGAAAACTCACCTCTATTATAGAGATAAAGGTAAAAATAGAGAAATACATCGGAGATGGTCTTAGTTAAATTGTACGTTATAGTCAAATACAAGTTGCGCTATTTAGATTTTAACAGGCCACTTGTTATGACTACTGGGAGCCGCGTGGTGCGTGCCACGTCGTGCTGATTTCGCTTTCAGATTGTTGATCCTTTTCTTCTTTTCATTTCCGACGTTTTGCTAGCATACACACTTTATTAATTACAGTTTAATCAACTATAAACAAATCTCCCGAGTTAATGAAATTTTGCTTTCGTTTTAGCTTTTAGTAAATATCCAAATTTCACAGACAATGAAAAAATAATAATATAGTTCTTCAAATATACCTAAATGAAAATGCTGACTTGGTTATTTGTCCTAGTTCGATGTGGTAAAAAAAAAAGGGGTTCTAGCAATTTGGAAACTGAATCCAAAGATCGATCATATCTTCTTTGATTACCATTTTAGTTTTAGTTAGCTGATTTGGAATGTGATGTTGTTGATGTCTCATTCCTTTGCTTTTGTAGATGAGGCTAGTGCCATCGTGCGTTCCAAGCCTTACAAACAATTTTTTCCAATCATTCATCTACATGCAACTATTTGGACCCAAAATACATATAAAAGATTGTAGCATAATTGGGGTGGTGGTGAGCAACAATTTATGTCATGTGGATTGAGGAATCATCGTTTGCACCGCAATTATATTAAGTATGTTGATTTCTCATAATACTACGACTGGAAACAAAGATTCTAATTATATGTAATCAACGATCCCCTATGGATTTTGATATTTTTGCATAGATAGTTTATCGGCTTCAAATTTTACTAAATTACGAAACATATAAAAGCAGTGCCGGCTCAACATTTTTATGGGGCCTAGGGCAAAAAAAAAATTTGGACTCTTAGAAAATTTTTTTAATGTTTTTTTGCTGTAAAAAAAATTTATATGCTATTTTTGTTAAAAATATTAATTACTAATACTAAAAACAATAAATAAAAAAATTTATAGACCTTTCTAAATTTTATTTTTATGTTATAATCTAATTTTTTAATATTTTTTAAAAAATATTTTAAAAAATGGACCCCTTAATTATTGGACCACGGGATTGGACCCCTGGCCGTCGCACCGCCCGCCCACCCATCTGAGCGGGCACTGTATAAAAGTATGCTATAAAATAAATCAAGAGGTGGTGGGTGCACTAAATCACATTGTAAATTTTCACATTAGTCTAATATCTTCGAACCACAAAAGTTTTGAACCTAGAGCATAAAAAGTTTAAAACACTAGCTCCCTTCCTGCTACCATTAAGTAGTAACCATTAGACCACCACCTCTCTGATATTTTTTTTTGTAATTGTAGTTAAATAAATAATGCACACATCAACAATAAAATGAATTCTGGAATATTATGAAAACAAAACTAATCACGTTTGATAGATTGTAGTCTTTTTCGATAAAAGTCGTTAATTTTGATAGATTACAGTAAGTTATAGTGAAATTGACATGCATGATATCCAATTAAATTGGAATGATACAGAGTAACCATAATTAAGAGCATTCATTCAATATTCAAAGAAAAGATTGATAAGAAAATATGGCTATACACCTATACGCTAGCTAGCTCGTACACATGACCACAACTTATATAATTATTTCATTCTAAATATATTTAGAATCTGTATATTCGTGTGTATAAAATTGCCATGATTGAAACTTCCTTAAAATACATGGAAAAATCCATCGAAATAGAAAGTTAAATCAGAAAGATTTTTCGGATATGTGGATACATTGACGATTTAAAAATTTATACACTATATAGTAACAAATAACTCAACAAGACAAATAAATAATTCGGAGTAATTAGGTCATGAAAACGAACTTTAATTAGGAGGTATAACTAAGGAAAAGATTATATATGTCCTTTTACTATGCGTGACAAAAATCTACTAATGGACAGACAACAAACAAAAACTACGTGTTAACTACCGGTTCAAAACAATTAAACCGTAACCGGTTTACTAATTTCAATTTTTATCACCCGGTTTTATCATCCATCCGTCTTCTATATATAACCCCCATGACCGACTCTATACGACGCGTCGTATCAACATTCGTGAATCTTCTCCACTCTCTCTCTCTCTCTCTAGATTTCAAATTTGGTACCTCAATCAAAATGGGAATCTGTGTGTCGTTTAATCGGAAAGACTCAAATTCTTCGCCGACGGTGAAGATCGTGACGGTTAACGGCGATCTACGTGAATACAATGTTCCGGTGATAGCATCTCAAGTTTTGGAAGCTGAATCGGCGGCAGCTTCGTCTTCCTCTAGATCTTCTTCTTATTTCATCTGCGATTCAGATTCTCTCTACTACGACGATTTCATTCCGACGATCAAATTGGAAGAACCGCTTCAGGCGGACCAGATCTACTTCATTCTTCCGATCTCTAAACGTCAGAATCGTTTAACGGCGTCGGATATGGCGGCTCTCGCCGTTAAAGCAAGCGTCGCGATACAAAACTCTGTTAAGAAAGAATCTCGTCGGCGAAAGAAGGTGAGAATCTCTCCGGTTATGATGTTGACGGGGTCTAACGATTCCGTTAACGGAAATGGAAGTGAAACGACCGTTAAGAAGGGACGGGCGTTAGTGAGTAAACCTGCGCCGTTTAAAGCTTCGAGTGGTTATAACCGGTCCGGTTCGGTTCGTAATTTGAGGAGATACACGTCTAAGCGAGCTAAGCTGGCGGTTCGATCATTTAGGCTGAAACTTTCGACGATTTACGAAGGCTCCGTCGTTTAGATTTATTTATTTATTAAGTTGCTTTCAATTTTTGAGGAACAAATAAATTAGCAAAAGAAAAATGAAAACAATATTAGAAGAAGCATAATTATTATTTTTTTTGTTTTGTTACAAACTGATGATAGTTTCCATGAAGCAAACATTGTATATTTCTTACTATACTTTTGATTGTGTATTTTGGTCATGTACCATAGACTAGTAATCGTATATGTTTACTACCAACAAAATTATATATGATTGATGATGTTTCTCAATTTAACCATCCTAAGTTCCTAACCATACACTCACAAGATTGATGATTATAATCGTTAATGTGGTTATCTTTTTGTTGTCTTTCATTATCGAATGTAAAAAAAATTACGTGAAAAAGTATAATCTTGCTCAATTCATTAATAACTATTTGCATTGTACATATAGTGGTGAGCATAAGCTTGGCCTTGGAAAGGAAGCTTAACAACTAGAATTTAAACGGTAGTTAAAATTTAAGGTGGAAAATGTAATAAACCAAAACCTTGGCTTCACAACCAAGGAATGCTTACCAAAACATTTCTAAGATACTTATTCAATCTAATTATATTAGTCAAGATATTATATTCAATCATAGATTTAAAAGATTCTCTTCAGGTTTTATATTTTTTATATTATTATATAAGATTTTATATTATTGATTGTAAAAAATTTCAAGAATAAAAAGAAAAGAATCCTTTTAAATTTTTTGTTACTTATTATTGTCGAAAAAGCTAGCAAATCAATGATACTTGCTTTTCGATGATTCAATTTGATGTGTCGTTGATGTGTTGAATACCAATGATCAAATCTTTATAACGCATGTTGTTGATTATAAAAAAAAACAATGTCAATTAGTTGTTGAGTAAGTCGTCTTAATTAGTTTTGCTTAGTCCTCGATCTAAGCTATGATTTACAACTTAAAGAACTTTTACTAGCATAGAATTACTTATGGCATTACAAATGTAAGCTTTCTAGAAGTTTCAACATATTGTATGTTGAGTTGTGCTTTCGTGTTGAATGAATATAGTGATTCAATATATGACAATGTAATATAAACTAAAAGCAATAAATATCTGACGTAAACAAAATAAATCTATAAAGTATATTCAACTGTGTTGATTCTAAACAGAGACGTGGTGTGAATAGTATATAGATTCCACTAGGCACTATGAAACCACGGTTTATAAAAAAGAGGCCATATCGGTTAATCGGTATATATGCTGATATGAACATTGTGGGTGCTGAATTGGTGATTGGTGTGAACGTTAAGAAATCAATGTTCTTCCTTTTCGCTCTAAAAATAGCAAGTCCTCCGACATGACTGGCAAATCTCCAACAATGACTGACAGGTTATATGCAGGCGACGAAGTAATTAACTATATCAACCCATTCTTTTATAACAATACAACTAATATAAAATTTCAGTAATTATTACCATATACGTGCGTCATATAAAAACTTAGGAAATAATTGATAAAAAAGACTTTTTTTCTTCCCATAATAACTACGATCATTGATCAGAATTTGTTATACTGTATATAATACTTTCTAGGTAACCGAATATGAATTTGTGTACAAACTGTTATTGTTTACCAGAAAGGTTTTATTGTATTTTATTACATTCTAGACTTCTAGTCATGTTGTTAGAAGATTTCACAATGAAGATGATAATGTTTAATGTGTACAGAAGAGAGATATGTCTATGTTGCCACGTAGGATTAGACCGTTGATATGTAAATTGGCGTCAAGTCTTTAGACGAGTGACCTAATCGCCTTATTGGACCGTGTGTTTTTCGTCCTATTGAATCCATTGATAGACAAAAAAAAAAGTCAACTCTCCTTCGTTTTTTTTTTTTTTTTGTTTTTTTTTGTTTTATTGAATTAGATTTAGTTTTGGTGAGTACCCTACACAAGATTTGAGTGATTCATTAGACACGTACATTTTCAATTTATATAATTATGCACTTCTAAAACACTATAGTATATGAATAGTTTCCTCCGTTGACCAAAAAACCATGGATATATAGCTGATTTTGAAATATGGTTCCGGTTGGATAAGCTTCAAACTTTTTTCGATGAACATATTTTCAAACTTATAATTAATGTACATAGATCACATGCGACTTTAAAACATATCATATATTTTCTCTTTAAAATTCAAATGGTCTCCACATTGAAATTAAATGCGTAATATATTGGGATTGCTATCTTCCACATATTGCAAAAATTTACTAACTCTTTATCCCCAAGCACCAAAACCAAATACTCATTTATAAATAAAATAAAATGTTATAAGTTCCAAGACTACTTTTTATTGATTGATATAATTGGTGTATAGAAAACGATATAGTTTGTCATGAACTACACAAGATAATTCTCATTCTACCAACACAGGACTATAGCACGCATTATTCTTCTATATAAGTGAGAATTTGTAGCAAAATTTGGTAGAAAGAGTAACAGTCCTGCCACATATACAATGTCGTCATTGACAAGGATAACAGAAGAAGCAAAACACGATACGAAAACAATTCAATGATACATTGGTATCTCTTTCATTATTCACAAACTCGTTGAGAAAAATCCACACAAAAATAGGCAACTAACGGTACGTACAAAGGCCACTCAATCGTTCATAAACCTTATGATAAATAAAAAAAACAACTCAATCATTAATTAACTGATTTTCCTTTCATCATCCATACATCCTTTTCTGACAAAAAAACCATACAAAACAAACAAACACTTCTTAAAATATGCATGAACAACTTCATGCACGGCTTGTCGGTCAGGTCCTCTTAACATCACTGGTGTAGACACCCTCGCATTCACTGGCCAAGTCACCTGAGTTTCTCATTTACGAAATGACAATGCTACAGAACCTTGCGTACAACTAATCATACATAAACCATTTAACAGTAAACCAATAACATCTCAATCGTGCATACATCATCAGTTATATCCTTTTTAGCTTTTATCCAAAAAAAAACCCGATAATTAACTCTGTGCTGAAATTAATTAGGTTGAGATTTTTGTAGAGAAATTAAGTATTCAAGACAAAATATCAACCTAATTAATTAATCTCAAATGTACAATTGTGGGTTTAAATACAAAAACCTGGCCTAAACCAAAATGCTAACCGGTTTATACTATATCAGCAGCTTACAGACTCTTATGTATATAAACTATATACAGAATGAAACTATACAACAACCTGTACATAAGAATACTATATATACAAACCTGAATATTATAATAGACCAAGCCTATAATAATTTTCTTAATTCTTCTTTTATTTTATACTTTCTGATGTTATATAGCCTAATTTTTGGGTTTATATGGAAAATATTGATTCATGTTTTGTAGTAATTCTTTAACTTATGCACACAAAAATATTATCTAATTATATAGTTATGCACTTCTAAAAATAATAACTAAATTTGAATGATAAGTTTATAAAACGTTTCTCTCAAAATGTCAAATTCTTAAGAAAAAATGGAGAAATGGCTTAGTTAATGTTTGGGGGCGGAAAAGCTTATATATATTAAAAAGGGGTTTCACTTTCCAAATCGCTTTCTAAACGAGAAATTATTTTCAATGTATTGTAGTTATCATGAGCTTTCGTCAAGATTTCTCATGGACCTTTGATTTGCTGATAAGATCTCGACTTATCTATTTTGTATAAATTATTAGCTCTCTTACTCACGTGGATATTGCCATATTGGGTGAATCAAAACTATTTGTTCTGTTTTCGCATAATAGGAGATGAACCTCAGAATATTGCCTTATTGGTTCCGATTAAGAATATTTTCAAATAATAGATACAAAACGATACAATCAAATTAGTTTTCCAAAACGATGCTACACTTATTTATCAAAAAAAAAAAAAAATCGAAGCTATACAATATTTTATGGTATAGCTTGGCCACTTGGGTGTCTTGTTTGTGTACGTGGCTTAATATCGTACTTTTAATTTAAAGTTAAGCTGTTTCTGATTAAATTATGAGTTTGATGAGATGACATACTTGAAGCAAACAAAACAAAATAATTGGAGTTTGCTGAAAATATACTAATCAAGATGAAAAAGAAAATTATTATTACTTTTACTTTCACACAAAATCTAAAAAAAGTGGAGTAACTTTTACTCCATAAAAACAAGCGTAAATCTTTAATTATTTACGTTATAATTAGAAATATTTTCCAGCTATTTTAATTGTTTATTATCCGGACAGAGTGGAACGGATCACGAATACAACTAAAATCAAGCAATTGTTGGTTTTGTCATATGCGTCGAACTACGATAATGCATATACTACATATTATAAACCTTCGGATGAATCGATGCTTGTGTTTTAGAAGTTGAACAAAAAAACAGCATAAAACGATTTGTAAAACTATCTTCTCCTTACGTGCAAATCAGACTGTAAAGGCCCATTATTATTCCTTGCAAAGTTCTATTATTGGGCCTCTCATAGGCCCATTTCATTAATGTATTTTCCCAATCAGACACAACGTAGGCGGCGACAAGCACATGGAACCTCATGCAAAATTGCAAAGAAATAACATATTTCTTTGCAAAAAACAGCCTTAAAAAAAGTTAAATCATATTTAGATAAAGATTAACGGAATCATTTAGTATTGATTTAACTTTAAACGATATCCATATGGTAAGGGACACGTACGTATTAAGTTTTAAGTCAAAACTTTTGTTAATTAGTGCCTTGATTGATATAATGCTTTTTGATGTATTATCATTGCATCACAGATTCACATGTAATTCATTTACCAGTCAATTAGGCTTTTGGCTGGTCAAAATATGTTGTATAATATAAAAATATTGAATAGTATGTGTTTAGAGTCCACTAACTGAGTGCCCATAATTAAACATATGATAATTCATGCCATCATGAAGCCATTATATTGTCATAAACATAAAGCTTAGACTATTTCCCACTAATCGTGTGTTATATTATATATAAAAATGTGAAGTAACTACATAGCTCTATATGTCTTATATTGTTGCAGTGATCATTGATCAATAGTGTGTTGATA